CCCCTCCCCCCCCCTCTGTCAACCCCTGCACTGGTTTCCATCCTCCACCCCCCTCTGTCAATCCCTGCACTGGGCTCCATCCCCCGCCCCCCTCTGTCAATCCCTGCACTCGCTTCCACCCGCCCAAAGGATAAAATTAAAAATATTAATGACTTACAAAGCCATCCACAACTCTGCCCCCCGGATATATCTCCAACCTTGTCTCAAAGTATCACCCTAACCATCCCCTCCGCTCTTCCCAAGACCTCCTGCTGTCCCCTTCCATCATCAACTCCCCCCAAGCTCGCCTCCATGACTTCTCTAGAGTCTCTCCCATCCTCTGGAACTCTTTTCCCCAAACCTGTCCGTCTATCTCTGACTCCCTTTAGGCGATCCCTTAAGACTCATCTCTTCAGGGAAGCCGATCCCACCTCAATCTAACCGCTCAACCATCACATTCTCAAACAATTCATCCCCACACAGCTCCCTCCTCATGTATCACTGACCCCTCCCTATTAGATTGTAAGCCCTCAGGGGCAGGGCCCTCCTTACCATCTTGTCTTGAATTGCATTGTGATTGTAATGTCTTCCTTACATTGTAAAGCGCTGCGCAAACTGTTGGTGCTATATAAATCTCGTATAATAATAATAATTTTAAAAAAGCTATTAATCATTGATGTGTTAGTGTAAGATGGGAAAAACAAACTTCTACTCCATGTGGAAAACATTTCACATCTCCAAATAAACTTTATACCAGTGAGATTTACACAACGGAGATTTATTGTAGGCCATGTGCAGAAAATAAAACGCATGACTAGGAGAACCTCAGGCAAGTTCCCATAGATCTTTTGTATCAGATGAGCTTCATAACATTGGCCTCTTAGAGCTGAACAGCCAAAATGAAGATAAAAATTAGAAGATCATTTAAAATATACCGTATACATGATTGTGTATATATATATATATATGATTGTTGATGATATCCAATGATATTGCAATGTATGGGTTCAGTTCTATTCGGGTCCCTACTCTTAAAGGCCACTGTCGACCTAACAAGAGCACAATCTCCAACCGGCATATCACTGGGGTCAGGCACGGATTCCCCCACAAGGCCCGGCCTCAGGGCGGCAGGGCGCAGAGGGGCGGCAGCGAGGTGGACTTCCCAACCATGATGAGCTAGTGTCCCATCAGAGAGAGCAGAGACAAGCAGAAGAGGAAGGCCTTTGTTTACAACTTATATAAAAGGTGAAAGCAGCAATTATGACCTCCAGTAACGACCATCAATTTTAAACTGAATCATCTGCCAACAAAAGCCATTCTGTGCCATTCAGAATTCTGACTCAAAATCTCAAATTGTATGCATTGCCGCCATCACCAGTCCTTAGATGTAGTGGTTGCATTAGTTTTCAACAAGTACAGAAAAAATACCCGTTGATCCTGCCAGAAATAAGGTGTCCTTGTCACTTCCTGCGAATCGAACTGAAATTCCACACAATGTTATCTCCTTTACAAGCTATCTGCTGTAAAATACTAATTCCCCCCTAACCCCATGCAATGCAGATGAAGAGAGGAGAACATCTCCAAATCAGGAGAGCAGCCTAGGGTGACAATGCTGCTCTTTCATAGATGCAGTGCAGTGAGTGAGCGTGGTCACCTTAGGACAGGAAGGTGGAGATAAAGAAAAAAAGTCTTCAACAAAAAAAAATGCAGCCACCATATCTAAAGACTAAGCAAGCTGCAATATATGACATGTATGTTTTTTGTCTTAAAAACCCCATCAATATATCAGCAGGGACATGGTAAGCACATTGTTTTAGGATTGGGGTTAAAGGAGAACTATGGGGGGGGGTTGTGACGGGTACAGCTGGATCTGCCTCTAGATAGGCAGAGCCAGCTGTCACTCACGCAGCTGGGCGGATCCCGTCATCTACGCCGGGATCTGCTCCGGCTGCGGCGTCTCAGTATAACGCGAGCTGTAGGTCGCGGTATACTGGGCTTTGGGTAACGGGAGGACGCTAGTTTGTGTCCTCCCGTTCCCCTAAGGATAACTATGGGGAAAAACACTGACCCCATAGTTCTCCTTTAAGGTTGCTCTGTTGCTCAATATCTAACATCATGTTTACAACTACCGAAAACGACAGTTTTCAGCCTTACAGGTCCAGGATAGTTGAAAAGAGCTTCCCCAAACCTCTGAAGTCATTCTAAAGTCTATTGTGCACTCAAAACAACCAAAAATGGCCTTAATTTAGCCTTCCCCATTGCCTCTGATGCAATTTACCAAAATTGTGCAAGTATGCCAAAATGTCCTACATTTTTTGCTGAAATTTGTCAAAGTGAGAACTCCTGATTTCACTCATCCCTAATGGGAGAGAGGACTTATGTTATTCTGTTCTGTCTTTATTTCATATAGTTTTTATTATTATTATTATTATACAGGATTTATAGAACGCCAGCAGTTTGCTCAGCACTTTACAATATAAGGAAGACATTACTATCACAATACAATTCAAGACAAGATAAGGAGGGCCCCGCCCCTGAGAGCTTACAATCTAAAAGGGAGGGGCAAGCAAAACAAGAGGTGGTAGCAGGGCCAGATTAACATAGGGGCGGGTGGAGCTCCCGCTCGAGGCCCACCCCTGCAAATAGACCCGGCCGAACTGGCCCTCATAGAGCCGCACTGGCCACCTAAGAACTTGCACAGCCTCCTGAGAGCCTTGCAGCCCCCCTAAACCCCGCGCAGCTCTCCTGAGACCCTGGAGACATCAGGCCGCAAACCTGGAGCAACACGGAGTATGTAGCTTCATATTATTCTGCATTGCTATACAGGCAGTCCCCGACTTACGGACAACCCATACTTACGAACCGAGGTTCGTGACACAACTACATACAGCTGTCACTCAGTGTCACAGACTTTACTGCAGTTCATCGTAAAAAAAACTTTGCACAATGAACTGCAGTAAAGTCGTTGACACTGAGTGATAGCTGTATGTATCTCTGCCTATATAAAGTATTGCTGTGATTTGTAGTCCTCTATAGCTGATAGCATTGTTCTGCAGTGCTTTACAATGCATTACTGGGATTTGTAGTCCTCTATAGTTAGTGGTAATATTCTGAATTGCTGTATAATTTATTGCTGAGATTTATAGTCCTCTATAGCTGGTGACATTCTGAATTCCTGTGTAATGTATTACTGGGATTTGTAGTCCTCTATAGTTAACGGTACTTGCATTGCTGTATAATGTATTGCAAAGATTTCTAGCCTCTCTACAGCTTGAAGTCAGTGGCAGATCTACTAGGGTTGCAGCTGCAACCGGGCCCTGGCGCTCCACCACTGACTCCAAGCTGCAGAGAGACTACAAATAGCCCAGACAAGAGGAAGAAGGCTCCAGTGACCATCACCATTTTCATAAAAAGGCCCACCGAAATCCTCAGCATCAGGCCCGTGATGCTCTTAATCCGGCTCTGGGTGGTAGCTGTGTGGGAATGAACTGTATGAGAATGTGGTGGTTCAGTGGTTAGCTTGAAGTGGGATAGCCTTCCCTGAAGAGACCTACAGGCAGTCAGAGTAGGAGATAGACAGACATGTTGGGGTAAAGAGTTCCAGAGGATGGGAGATGGCTTAGATTTTTAATTTTATCCTTTGGGCTATTGGAAGCCAGTGGAGGGATTGGCAGAGGGGGGTTGCAGACACTGAGCGGTTGGTTAGGTGAATGAGTCTGGCAGCTGCATTCATGATAGACTGAAGGGTGGAGGAGCCTGTGTAGAGGTAGGCCAGCCAGGAGGGAGTTGCAATAGTCAATATGAGAGATAACAAGGGAGTGGATGAGCAGTTTTGAGGTTTCATTGGTGAGGAAGGGGCGTATTTTGGAGAAGTTACGAAGGTGAAGGCGGCAGGATTTGGATAGTGATTGGATGTGGGGAAGATAGGTGAGGTCCGAGTCAAGGATGATACCTTGCACCTTGGCATGGGGGGGAGGGTTGGATAGTTGTGTTATCAATCTCAATGGAAATGTTGGGGGAAGGTGCACGGGCTGAAGGAAATATCATGAGCTCCGTTTTTGAAAGAGTTTTAAAGGAGAACTATGGGGTTAGGGCATCTCCGCATAGTTCTCCTTAGGGTACCGGGAGGACACAAACTGGCGTCCTCCCGTCACCCTAGGCTCAGTATACCGCGAGCAGCAGCTGAAGCGGATCCCGACAATTGTGCCAGGATCCGCCCAGCTGCGTGACTGACAGCTGGCTCCTCCTATCTAGAGGCAGAGCCAGCTGTACCCGCCCCCTCCCCCGTCCGTTCCGCCAGTCAGCACTGGTGGATCGGAGTGGGGGGAATCCAGCCCCTCCCCTGTCATGGCAGAGAGCCGTGACAGGATCGAGAGGTGAGCGAACACCAGTATCATTGTCACAGGTCGGCTAGAACTATGAGGTGAGTGAAAAGCACCCCCCTCATAGTTCCCCTTTAAGTAGTGTTGTGACATCCAGACGGATATGTCAGTTAGTAGGTTAGTGACACGCAAGGACACTGGGGGGGGGGAGGGAGTTGTGGAGAAGAAAGATATATTTGAGTGTCATCAGCAGAGATGGTCTCATCTGCATATTACTAAGTACCTGACAGAATACAAAGATCAGTTCTTGTGTCCCATCGGAACTCACCACCTCATGGCCCAACAACTCCCCATTTGTTCACTGGAGCCATTTGGGAGAAAGCCAACAAATCTAGCAGTTGTGGGATTCCATGCATTAGGCTACTACTTTTCTATTACAACATCAATGTCAATGATCACAAGGAGACTGAGGAGAATTTCATTTTTTTATGATAAAGGCCCCATAATACATTTTTTTTTTTTACATGGCACTATATACCCTGAGGCTGGTCCTGATCACTTCAATATCTTTTTTTTGTGTATTGTCAAACATCACAATATTGACTTTAGGAATGTGATATTGACTTTAAACTATCCATCTATTCCACAGATACATAAAGGGGGACGCCATATCTTTGGGTGCAGTAGGGCACCGGCGCAGTGGATATCCAGCGAGGAAAATGTCTACAATGAATGTGACAACTCACAAGCATTATAATGATCCAGATCTTGATGCCAAAGAGTTAGTTAATACTCATTTTTCCCATGGGAAGATCAGCATAATTGAAGAAACTATGGGCTTTCCTACAAGGGTCATCCATGATTTGGCCTCTAAAGGTAATGTAGACAATAGACTACTGACGTATGTTGGGCAGCACAGTGGCCAAATAATCATCGTTAAGGATTGCCAACTGTCCATAGTTTTACAGATAACCTGTATAAATAGCTGTGAATTAGGGAAATTGATAGAAAACCATATTAGATCTACTAAAGATCTTCTTGTTCTTTCTCTCTGCTGGCTGGTTTCCAAGTTTTAGAGGAGAACTATGGGGTTAGGGCATCTCCGCATAGTTCTCCTTAGGGTACCGGGAGGACACAAACTGGCGTCCTCCCGTCACCCTAGGCTCAGTATACCGCGAGCAGCAGCTGAAGCGGATCCCGACAATTGTGCCAGGATCCGCCCAGCTGCGTGACTGACAGCTGGCTCCTCCTATCTAGAGGCAGAGCCAGCTGTACCCGCCCCCTCCCCCGTCCGTTCCGCCAGTCAGCACTGGTGGATCGGAGTGGGGGGAATCCAGCCCCTCCCCTGTCATGGCAGAGAGCCGTGACAGGATCGAGAGGTGAGCGAACACCAGTATCATTGTCACAGGTCGGCTAGAACTATGAGGTGAGTGAAAAGCACCCCCCTCATAGTTCCCCTTTAAGTAGTGTTGTGACATCCAGACGGATATGTCAGTTAGTAGGTTAGTGACACGCAAGGACACTGGGGGGGGGGAGGGAGTTGTGGAGAAGAAAGATATATTTGAGTGTCATCAGCAGAGATGGTCTCATCTGCATATTACTAAGTACCTGACAGAATACAAAGATCAGTTCTTGTGTCCCATCGGAACTCACCACCTCATGGCCCAACAACTCCCCATTTGTTCACTGGAGCCATTTGGGAGAAAGCCAACAAATCTAGCAGTTGTGGGATTCCATGCATTAGGCTACTACTTTTCTATTACAACATCAATGTCAATGATCACAAGGAGACTGAGGAGAATTTCATTTTTTTATGATAAAGGCCCCATAATACATTTTTTTTTTTTACATGGCACTATATACCCTGAGGCTGGTCCTGATCACTTCAATATCTTTTTTTTGTGTATTGTCAAACATCACAATATTGACTTTAGGAATGTGATATTGACTTTAAACTATCCATCTATTCCACAGATACATAAAGGGGGACGCCATATCTTTGGGTGCAGTAGGGCACCGGCGCAGTGGATATCCAGCGAGGAAAATGTCTACAATGAATGTGACAACTCACAAGCATTATAATGATCCAGATCTTGATGCCAAAGAGTTAGTTAATACTCATTTTTCCCATGGGAAGATCAGCATAATTGAAGAAACTATGGGCTTTCCTACAAGGGTCATCCATGATTTGGCCTCTAAAGGTAATGTAGACAATAGACTACTGACGTATGTTGGGCAGCACAGTGGCCAAATAATCATCGTTAAGGATTGCCAACTGTCCATAGTTTTACAGATAACCTGTATAAATAGCTGTGAATTAGGGAAATTGATAGAAAACCATATTAGATCTACTAAAGATCTTCTTGTTCTTTCTCTCTGCTGGCTGGTTTCCATTTTCTGCATCTCTGTTGGTTTCTCTTCAATATCTGACTATTGCAGAGGAGCCAATAGTAGCGCAGTGGTAGAAGACAACCAGCCGAAGGCAGAATAGAGCTAGGATGGATGTGGGTATGGTACAGACCAGGGGTCTCGAAGTACCGGCCTGCGAACTGGTACTATGTGGCCCGCAGCCAGCTGACAAGTCAGGCACACGGTATTGTGTGTGCTGGGGGCTTGGAAGGAAGGGAGGGGGGGTTATTATTATATGTGCTGGGGGCTTGGAAGGAAGGGAGGG